TGGATACGAGCCCATTGGCAGACTTTTCTGGAATCTTGGTCCAAGTACGCCATAAATTATATCGCTACCTAAAAGTGAAAAGGTGCACAGTACAGTTTTTTTTCAAAGTTTAGTTTTTGATGCAGAATTGCAGGTAATACGAAACTACTTCAATTTTTCGTCTCACCTGAAGAATTTCAAAAAATGGACTTGGCACCTTTTCACTCTTAGGTGACTGTATATGGATGTTCGTATTGTATATTGGCAATAATAAGGCTATAATTTGTATTTAGAAATCAGGTATATTTACATGTTTGTGGCCGTCGTTATAAATATTCGTATAAAAATTTTTTTTCTAAAACCTTTGGAGATATATATTTTCTATTTTTCGCAAATAACTATTACTCATTGTTCCTAAAACTACCAAAATCTAATCTTGCCTACCAACCTACCAAATGGAAAAAACCTACCAGTTTTGGTAGGGAAAGTCTTTGTGTGGCAACACTAATTCTGGCTTCGGTGGCTGCCTCCATTCAACTTCATTTAGTTGGTGGCATGAATCGCACGTGCTTTTGTAAACATTCCAGTACAGCTGGGGCCGAGTAACCGCTCGCTCTCTTGCCATGCACACACAGATACTCCGGTTGAGAGAGAGCGTGAAGAAGAGAAATAGCACTTTCAAAAGTTATTCTCTCTCAATTAGCCTCTGTGTGCTGAGAACTTTGCTTGAATGAGTGCCTTGGCTGGTTAGATAATTTAATATTATTATCCGCAGAATGTATCTGCGAAGCGGATAAAATGCTGCGAGCTGCGAAGAAGACGTCTAGGTTGAAATCTCCGCATAGTTAGAAAAACCATCTAATTTGTTTGGGAAAGGACTAGACAACATGCAGTCCTCTTAATATACTTTTTTAACTGCCCTAAAACAGAATCAGATGTTCAATCCGCTATATATGTATAAATTTTAATCTGGTTTGGGCGGGCCTCGAACATGTGTAGGGGGTCGATTGCAGATTATTGGCACTGACGATCGCACGATCTTGATAAAACAATTAAATGGTCAATTCATTTAATTTCTGCGAGGTATCCCCAAATTGCTAACACAGAGTGTCCATAATGACGTCCGCTGTGTCGTCTAAGTCAATCGAAAACCGTTATAACCGTTTTGTAGCGCTCGCTGTTAACGGTGGCGGTATCATCAAAAAAAGTAAGAACCGAAGTCCACATATGCAGTGACTTTTTAGACTCAATTATACCTACGGAAATAGTGTTGGAATTTTGTTATAAATACATTCATAACGTAAGAATCTCTTGTGCGAGATACGATAACAGACCCTTGGAGAGCCTTGGGTCACGGCAGTCAGAGTGGGCCACTCTAACGGTCCTTTGAAGTATACATCATCTGTTCACCATAAAGTGCAGCTCCATGCGGGTGTCTGTCTCAAAGCAATGGCTCCTTAAATAAAAAAAAAAACAATTTATGTTTGTACGTTTGGTTTGTGACTAGAAACTTAAAACTAAGTTCTACTGAAAGAGACAAATGGTGAAACCCCTTTCTTTTTAGCGCGACCACAGTAAGTGTATAAAGGGCTATGATTTGAAGGCATATATCTGGACCCTTAAATGGAGAGATGCCTCAGCTCGGCTGGTTGATTTGCTCAGCAAGATTAAGGCTGGCATAATTGCAGTTCAAGAAATGGAATGCTCCATATTTCATGTAAAGCAGCATGAATAAGGAGACTTCGCCATCGAGTACTCCTGAGTGGACCAGCGCCACGTCGCAATATTTTTTAAAGCGAGATTTAGCAACATGTCGTTTATTTGTGCCCCATGCCCCAGTCGAAGAGACGAAGGAATCTATCGAACAGACGGAAAGTCCACGACTGAACGACTTCCTCGGTGTTCGAAAGGCAATAGTCAAATCAAATGCCGATAATTTAAAACTGATCGCTTTGTGACGCAGGTAAGACAGGTTTCCAGTATTCCAGTAGAACTTACGTTCCAATTACCAAACATTGACTCGAATCTCTAAGAGTCTGTTTAACACAAATGCGAGTAGATGAACCTTAGCTCCTCCAGATTAAGTACAGCCGCTGAAAAATGTATTAACCCTCGTGTAGAATATGGTCGGACGAACGCAAGCCTACCGACTGGAATCTAAGAGCGCTCTGGTATCAAGCAGAGATTTTATCGAGCGAATTGAGTGAAAAGCTGAATGAAGCCCACCGTCAACGAACTGACTGGACCATAGACGAGGTATCACCATACGCTAAATCTTGAATTCTGTTCTGCCAAAGGCATTGAACGAGGACAAGAGAAAGTATCCAATAAATCGTCATTAAGCAAATAGCTATAGTATTTCACGCCGCAGTTATAATTTCGAGGCTATAGTGGACAGTGATTTTGATCGCCATTCACCTGAGAGTGCCCGGAAATGATAATTTTGCAACTTCCGATGTTTACGCCAAGCTTCCTCTGGGTAAAAACCGAACACCGGTTTGGAGGAGAGCAAAAGTGAGAAAGCAAACCCCCAGCAGGAAGTCGTGCGCTGGGCTTGGAACCAATGAAACGACCAGGCAAGCCATGGATTATTGCTACAAGTCCCTCAGCATGCCCGCCATCGTATGAGGCGCAGAAATATGGTAGATGTCGAGCAAAGACGAGACTGCTTTGGGAGCTTTCAAGAGAACTAATCCATGATAAATCTATGGTCCTGTACCCAAGAAGATGGAATGACGAACTGTACGCATAAAAATACAACGATTGCGCTGGATAAGGCATATACAACCACATTCGAAGAAGTGGACTTTGTTCATTTAGTAGGGCGGTAGCAGGTATACTTGGCTTTATTTTGCATTTTCCATTGGCCCCCAAAAGAATTTTGTGGTGCGCTTGATTGAGATCGACCAAAATCATTCAGCTGGTTATAGCGCTACAATACTGATTTTTATTAAAAACTTTTTTTTTAAAACAAAGCTTATGCCCATGTCCAAATGATTTTTTTACTTTCACACTGTGTATGTAAGCTGTATTAAAAATTAATGCAGCTCAATAATGATTTAGTTTGTTTATCCAATTACTTCGGAGGTTAATTTATATTCTAAGCAAAGTGGGTTTATCTAATTGCAGTTGCATATTATCGTACTTACATATGTATACAGTCAGCGTCAAAAATATGAATACTCTGACGTTTCTTTATTTATATTTTCCATACCAAATTTTTCTTATATTTTTTTTGTAAAAATATAGTTCGTTCAACAGCAAAAACCCGTGGAATAATTTTTTTCAATTCCATATGGAGCTTGAGAAAATTCAAGAAATAGCAAAAAATTGGCATCAAGATATTCCACTTTTCAATTCTATTCCTTAGTAAAATTTTTGGTATGTAATTTTGTAAATTTTAGTACAGTAAGGAGTAAGTTTAAGGTCTCTAAGAATTACCGCTGATTTTTGACATTTTTTTTGTCGAGGGTGTTGCGCATTTCCTTCTATATAAAAACAGATTTTTCTTAATATGCTACACATTTTTCTAAGAAATCGAATTGAAAACTTGAAAATTTTGATGAATTTTCCTGAGCTCTATATTAAATTGAAAAAATTGATTCTGCTGATTTTTACTGTGGAATGAATTATATTTTTGAAAAGAACTATTTAAAAAAATTGGTATGGAAAATACAAATAAACAAAATCGTCAAAACGTCAGGGTATTCATATTTTTGACGCTGACTGTATGTAGGTATATAATATTGTTTGTTTGGATATACATATATGTAGGTATATCTAATATCTAGCATTTGCATAGAAAAAAAAATAATTGTATCATTTGCATTCGTTAATTAGCGTAGAACAAAGCGCTTTCCTAGCGCTTTCCTGCCAACAGCAGTCGGCGAAGAATACAGAAAAAAGAAATCTCGAAAATGCTGTGGCCACTGGAAGTGGGAGGCGCATAATGCACAGATACTAAAGCAACAACAACAACAACAGTTGCTAAAAAGCAAACAAATAAAATTCGCGACTCTCGAGGCTCGTTCTCATTGGCATATCTTTAGCAATTAGAAGAGGCCCACGCAGTTGCAGGAACAACAACAAACACAGCGACGCCAACAATCGCCACAAAGCAAATCCACCAACAACAACTGGAGCCAACAACTTGCAGTGTTGAATGCAGCAGCAACAGCAACAACACAAATAACCAGCAACAACAACACCCGAAATGAAAGAAAAAAGGAAAAATAATCGCAAAAATCAAAATAAAAGCAGTCACTTGTGAGAAACGGAGTGAGAATAACAACAAATAAATGCATATGCGAGTGGACAGCGGCGACCGACTGCGATGTGAACACAACGACAACGACAGCAACAATGCGCCGAGTAGGAGGCAGCCGCAATTCTGCAGCAGAGTGACAAATCCGTTGCAGTTGGCCGTTTTGCACGTGTTTTTGCATGCAACATCAGCGCCAACAGCAAAAACAACAAGCTGCACATGGCCAACCGGCAGCAATAGCATGGAAGGCAATGCAAGGCAGCCAGCAACAACAACTCTATTATCCGCGTGTTTCGAGTATCTGTGTGCGGCTTAACACAAATACTAGCGCAGCTGGTGTGTGGAGCAGAGAGAGCGCAGCGCACACATGCAAGCATAAATGAAGAGAACACGACAGAGCGCTCACGTAGGCGCTTCGGCGCGTCGTCCAAGTATGTGTGCGAGAGCGTTTCCTTTGAAGTGTGTGCGTGTTTCCGTTTTTCTTGTGTGAAGGCATGTTTGTGTGCATGTACGAACATGCGCGGGTGAATGAGGAATTGGTGTTAGTGTTTTCAACTCGCACATACATTCACACACAGGCGCGCGCTAGGCAGCATGTATCACAGAGGGAGAGCGCGCTCGGCCGTGTAGGCTGTTTGTTTGCGCGCGTGTATGTGTGGGGCGCATTCTATTTAGAAAGGCTGCTAGCAGCCGCACGGGGAGCGCAGTGCAGCGCAGCGCAGCGCAGTATCGCACCGCTGAGATACATCGCCTGGCTGGTAGCGCCAGTATCGGTTCAACGTCAGAACCGTACGCGTCTTATTTCGTAAGAGTTTCTTTAGAGCGTTGTGTCGTATTTGCGCCGGAGTCACAACAATAAAACTATTCATACGTCACAATCATTGGCGGCCAACGCGCCACAAATACTTGTAAAATTAACAATCGATCGTGTTTAGAGTTACATATTTATTTGTAAATTCGTTATTTTCGCGAAGCAAAAAAAAAAAAAAGACAAAAGTCCCCAAAGTGTTGCTTATTAAAACTCGAGGAATCAAACAATTATACCAACGGTAATTTGAGCCAGAGAAAACCAAAAAACAATAAATGCGGATTTTAGAAGGCAGCGCTTTGAAGCCGTCAATTGGTTGGTTGCAAATTGCAGGATCAGCGACGGATTGACGCGACCACGCGTTTTTTTTTGCTGCTGCTTTTGATACAGAAGCGACTGCTATTGTTGTTGTTGGAGTGGCAACAACAGTGTTCTAATCGTGCAGCTGTGTTGTTGTTGCTGTTGTCATTGTTATTGCCAGTTGCTGCTGCTGTTGCATATTGGTGGCGCTGTCAAACCTTCGGCAACCACACGCCAGCCCGTCTGCAACAGCAACTGCAGCAACAACAAACAACACCAACAACTCTGCTTTTTTTTCTGCTGCTGCGACGTTGGCAATGCGGCAGCTGTAGCATGCCACAGCATCAACACTCTGCTGCCTGTGCTGTTATTTGTCATTCGCAAGTTGACGGTGTTGGTCGCTCGTACGCTCGCTCCAGCGTTCGCTCAGTCAGCGGTTAACGGTTGCGCGTAACAAAACAACAATAAATGCCTACCAAATGGCTTTTGTAAATCGGCAGGCGACGGTATAGCGCGTAGCATTATGCCGCAAACAACGGCGACAGTGCGTGCCGCCTGCATGCAGCAGCTAAAGCCAAGCGCCAGCCAGCTGAAAAGTTACATGCAAATCGCTTCAAAACGCGTCACGATCAATCTACGTATTAGCGCAATAAATAATTTGGTGAATGACAATGACAACAACAACAACAACAACACGAGCAGTAGCCGTAGTAATATCGGCATTGAAAGCTGAGCTAGCAAAAGCAGCAGCAAAATAGTGCCAACAACTGCCTAAGGCGCAAGTTAGTGCAAGCGGACTTTTAGAGAAGTTTTTAAATTCATTTTTTTTCTGAATTAGAAAAAGTTAAATAGCAAAAATGTTCGCCGAAACAAATAACAGTTGGCAAGAAAATTTCATGCAAGTGATTTATTGAATTTTTTTATTGGTAAATTTCATTAGAAATTAACAAAAAAAGTGAACGTTTGGAATTGCTGACAACCTACTACTTAAGTATTCTTAAAAGTGTTTTAAAGTGCAAGCGAATTGGACATTTATTCAAATATTTGGTGCTAAAATTCCAAATTCAAACCAAACTGCACAACTACAGCAACAAGAGCAACAAAAACGCCCAATTTTCTGCGCCTTTCTAAAAATTCGCCAGCAGTGCATTTCATTAAAAGCAGCAAAATCTCTAAGCAAACAAAAGAAGTTAACGCGCCGCCACTCGAGAGTGAAGGACCAAAAACAACAGCAACACAAAAAACAACTAAACTTTAGCGCCACTTTTTGCCAACTACCTATCTGACTACGAGGAGGCATTTAAAAAAAAAAATACTACATTTTAAAATTGGCTAGTACGGCTGCTTAGTTAACCACTTACTTTGAAGCTATTTATATCGCAAATATTACAAAAACACTAAGAAAGTGGGAAACTCAAGACTTCTTCTACTCAAATTCACAACAACAACTGACTACTATTAAGCAAATTATTACTTTAGCTTGGAGAAAAACATTAAAACATTTACAAGCTTCAACTAAATTTTAACTACATAATTACAACTACAACTACAACTACAACTAAGTACTAACACTAATGCTTTCGCCTATTTAAAATAACAACAAAAAAAAAAGCAAAAACTTACCAATAATACTATTTACCACTTAAAAAGCAACTAAAAAGTACCTTTTTACTACAAAAAAAAACTAAAAGCAAAACAAAGCTAGTAGAACAAATGCCCAGCGGTGAAAATTACGCCGGCAAACAATTTTGCAAAAAGGTAGTGAGCGGCCTTGCACACCCACTTCGGTGATACTAAAACAAACAAAAAAAAAAACAAAAACATTTAATTGGAAAGCAAAGTAACTAAAAAGTAAAAAAAAAAATACTAAGCACGTCAGCTAAAATAAATTTTTACTACTCTTTTTCACTCCGCTTTATCAACTACATACATACTAAATGAGCAGTATACTAGAGCAAAAAGTAGCCTAGAAAAAAGCGCAATTTTACACTTTTCGCATTAAAATACAATAACTACAATTAAAAATCTTGCCAATCTACATTATGAAAAATTAGAGTGCGAAGCAGTAAAGCATAAACATTAACTACTAAGCTAAGTCATAGACTTTTTTGTCAAATTCAAAAAAAAAAGAAATGAAAAATATGAAAAGTTAAAAATCTAAAAGCAGAACAAAGTGCATAAAAAGCAATTCAAGTGTCTTACTTAATAATTCAACTGAAAAAGGAATAGATAGAAAGAAGCAACATCGAAGTAATTAAAAGTTTCATATTAAAAAATTTTAACATTTTCATGCATGAAATTTAAAAAGCAAGAAATAGCAACAACAATAGCAATACACGCTCAGTAAAATCAACTAAAAGCTTGCCAGTTTTTTTTTAAATTAATAGATATGCAATATCAATAAAAAAAAAATGAAAACAAAATAAAACTGGAAATTTTTACTAAAATGCTTCTGGATTAGCATTAAAACTTAATAAAAAAAACATATACACACACACCTATATAAAGTATAATAATAGCGCAGTGAACAACGAGTACATTTTGTGATATTTTTAATAATCCAGTTGAGAAAGAGAAACAACATAAAAAAAAAAATAGTAATAGAATGTGAAACGCGCACAAAATCGAATTAACAATTCGGTAAACAGGACATTTTAAAAGAAAACAGTGTGTGGTAAATATTGCAAAAAATTTACTTGGAATTGAAAAAATTTTAGTTGCAAATGAAACTGCATTACTGTGCACAAAGTCTCATAAAAAAATAAATTAATTAATAAATAAAATCAGCAGCTAAGAAGTTTTACGCCCCAAAAACGCGTTCCTGCACTCCATCAAAAAGCAGCGCGTTAACGGTGTTGCCGCTTTCGGATTAAAGTCACAAAGTGCCAGCGCCAGTGTGAAACAAAAGGTAGGCCGTTCAAATATTTTGATATGAAAATAAGTTTTTACCTTTACTTCACAATCTTGAAAGCCTTCAATTACCAGCTTGTGTTTGATTTCTGAGCAGATGGGATGCATGTGCACGCATTTGCCGACGGTAAAACGCTCTTACAGCAGCATACCACACTAAGCTATTCAGGCTTTCAGCACTCTATTCAGCTATAAGTTTTCTATTGTTATTAATTGAGTGCGAAAGCATTTACCCCTTGAAAGCTTGACAGTGTTGCCATCTTCTGATTTTCGAAAAGCACCAAAAACTTGGAAAAAAGCGTTTTACCACACTAAAAGCACCAAATTTTTTTGAATCAAGGGATGCTTTTTTCATAACATAATACCGAAGTACTGCACATTAAAACTGGTATATCTCGAGAAAGAAAAATTGAATCGCATCAAATGAAAATGATGCCCTAATTAGAAATGAGCAAATAATTTAATGTTTTCATTATATAACCTCAAATATCGCTAAAAACCGTATTTTTGGCACTTTGAGGTTAGGATATCTCAAAATTCTAGTTCCAGAGCAATTGTGAGGCCAGATTTGGATTCAGTAAAAAAAGAAATACTTAACTTACTTTCGTACTAGCATTTTCAACGCGAAAAGAATTTAACAAGGTGGCTTTGCAACTTCAGCTTTTTATCTATCATTGTTGTATTTTAGTCCATTTAAATTTGTAGATTCTTGTAAATTCAGTGCTGCCACAGCCTTAAATATTTCAAATTATTTCAGGTTTTAACTATCTCGAAGTAATTTTAGTTCAGAAAAAATCACTAAAAAAGGCATTAGGCACTAAATAATATTTTTTGGCGTTTTAATTCTCAAAAAGCACTAAATCTAGTGCTTAAAGCACTAAGTTGGCAACTATGAAGCTTGATGTCGAGTTTAAACTTTATACCTTAAAAGAGGTAAATAGTATCTACAGATAACTATATTATTCGAAAATTCGCGGTAAATTTTTTATTAAATTCAATACAATTTAAATTGAAAAAGCGGATGACATAGTCATCTAGTGTCGGAATCTCATAGAAATTTATCGAATCGGTCACGAATTCAGATTCAGGTGACAGCGGTACATTTGTGAATGAAATTTTTAATAGAACACATGTTAGATGATTTAAAAAAAAAACAATTTTTCTACCACTAAGCCCAGAGTCGACCGATCTGTAGATATGATTTTCACTACTTTTGGTAAGTCTCTGGCCAAGCTTCTCCTCCAATTTGGGGTGTGCGTCTTGATTTCGTCACACAAGGAAAAACGTTTTATAATTTAGATGGTTCTCGAAACCGGCATCCAACCCAGTTACTGCGGAGTGGTAGTACGCAGCTCTAACCGGTTTTTTGTCGCGCATTATACGATGTTTCGACGATTCGTAATTCGATCTCTGAATTTGAGATTGAATTTGATATTCTGTCATCTCAGTAGTATTCAGAGAATTTTGGATAGCAGTCTCCATATTGAATCGACTATTTTGAATTTCACGATTTTATCAGAATCGAATCCCTTTAAAATCTAAAATTTGCCACCAATAAAATGTTCTATAGGTAATTTGATGTTTTTTTACATACAATTTTTGTCTGTTATATATATCATGCTGCCATATACATTTTTTTTTTTTAATTCTGGCCTAGGCAATCTTTTCTACGAACCGTTCCAAGTGTTAAAAAAAACTACTCAATTCGCTAAAAAGTTAACTCTTCCAGCCAGTCGAAAATTTCCCACTGTGCGTCAGTTTGGAATTGAGCGTTCATTTTCGAAATTCCACAATTTTGTTACTACATATTCAGCTTGGACTTAAGTTTTAAGTTATATTCGCAGTTCACTTATGAATGGAGAACTTTTTCCAAGCCCATATTGTACGCAGTAGAGCATTAAAAAAGAAAAATACTCTCCACTCCAAGCAGCCACTCAATGTCATCCCTAAGTATTCGCATACGTACGATTTTTTTGAAATTCTTGTTTTGCCTTTTTTTGATCACTTGCGTTAAATGAATCCGAAGCGCTGGAAATTTCTAAAGAGGCTGGAATTGAAGCCCAAACCTTCATCTAGGAGAACATACCACAGGCGAAAAAAATTTATATTACAGCCGATCTTTATAGAATTTTTCTCGTGGAGCCCGAATTTGATCTTGGAAATTTTAATTTACACTAGTTTTCAAGCAACTTGGGTTAAAAGGTGTCTTCCTCCTCTTCATTTCCACTGCTAGAGTCAGTGTCCACCAATATTTGGTGATTAATTCATGAAACCTCGAGTTGTATTTCAAAGATTGGTACAGGAATTTCTGCAGTATATGGATAAAGGCCGTTAACCATTTGACCGAAATTTTTTGATTTGGCGTATTAAGGGCAGTGTTTAGGCTTTCATATCCTCCCACACAGACAGATATATTGCATCAATTTATTGTTTCAAATGGCCTCAAAAATTTCCAAAAACGCGTTTTTCGGCACTTTCAAACCTGAGTTAGGGTCAGATTCGGACTCTACGGGGAAAATCCTATAAGAATCGGCTATAATATTTTAGTCAACATAACATTGTTTAAATTTTGCTGGCCTGCGCTATAAATGTTTATATTGATATCGAAAAATTATTCTGTTTAAAGTTTCATTTTAATCCAACGTATATTAAAAGAATAGTGATACTTTTTTTTGAGTGTATGAAATAAGATGAATTAGTTGGCATATGACTTAAAAACGATATCCAATAATTTTAAGAATATTTTCTTTTAAATATGGAATCTTTATGATTTCATTAGTTTTTTTCTTTGTCTGTTTTACCGCTTGGACTAGAATCTTTTCATAGTTTTCTAGTTTCTTTAGGTCACATTTTTCTTTGAGTTTTCCGCGAGTTAGCGATGTTAGCTTCCAAATTTTGAATCATAGCTGGCTTATCGACAAAGACTTTTGACTTCACATAACCCCAAAGAAAAATAACTTGCCGAAACGAAATGTTGCCCACAGATCGGCTGTTTTAAAGTGTTTTATTTAAAATGAAAAAAAAGTCTAGATGGATTACCCGATACAAGCATAATTGGACTTTGGAAAAATAAATGAATCGCTGAGGTTTCAAAACTGTCCAACTACCTACTTAAGAATCTTTAAGAACTACTCTAACTAATCATAATAACGGCGGTGCCTTCCAACTAATTGTTTGCTTTCTAACTCAATCATCTAGTAGAGCAATTAAGTTCCTCATCTATTTGAAAGCAGTGGAATGCTGATTAGTGACGGGCGGCTTCTTTCTTTATTTTTGTAATTCGATTGGCTGGTCTCATTGCTTTCAAAAATTCACACAACTTTAGGTAAACAACGTTCATATGTACATATGTATTTAAGCATATAATTATGCACAAGTGGTACATGCATTTAGTCAGCAAAAGAAAGAATCTTGCGATCTTTTAATATTTCGCGCTTTCAGTTTGTTTTAGCTGTATTTTGCGCGCTAATGAGCGATTTGTTGCTGTTGTTTTTTTCTTGTGTGTGTTTTCGGTTTTCGGTTTGCTATTTGCTGCAAATTGCTTATTTACGGTGAATTTTTAACATAATTTTGGGTCAATAGTTCATTTTGAAGTTTGGGAACTATTTTTGGTTTACTCAGCACTCAGACTTTCAAACAAATATTTGCAGCTGGCGATTGCATTTGTTTCGTTTCTGGCGGCTCTTTGTTTTCTAAGCTACTTTCTTCATTGGACCGTTCAAATGGGGTGTCGTCGGTTAGAAAGTCTCGCCGCTTACGTACGGTGTCCGCTGTAAGAGCAGCCCTGCGGTGCTGGTATTGAAGAAGAAATTTTGTTTAGCAATGCACTTTAAGTGAGACCATTTCAATATTCATATGTACACCAAACTAGACATGCATATCTGCTGCGGTGTTTTTGGAAAGCATACAGGCATTCGAAAATTCGTTTTATTTGCATTAGTATTACTTAGTTCTCTTTTCCCCATTAGTTTACTGTACTCCGTGTGTACGAGTCGGTGGGTGATTGCAATTCGCGAAGTATATAGCAAAATTAATGTATCCAAAACGCTGACAATTATTAACAAAAAATCGCTGCTAATGCATTCGACGCTCAACAACAAATCCACCCCAACACCCCCCCACCCAGTCCGCCGCCACTCACTTGTTGTTGGACCTGTTCCGTTGTTGCTTTGAAATTCGTATTTCGCCTGGCTTACTTAAAATCGACTGTTTGATTGTCCCAGCTCAGTCGGT